GGGGGGGGGGGGAGAGTATAGACCAGGCCTTAAGAGTTTAGGAGATGGGATTAAAATTTTCTTTTTTTAAATTTACCATGGGATGTGAATTACTTGCTCCTAGTATCAAAGCAAATAATTTAATTAAAATGGCTCAATCCTCTGCTTCCACTCCTTGTTAAATTGTGTTCTCTGAACAAATTGCTCCATCACCATTCTAGTGGTTATAAAGGCATGATTTCTCAAAGGATAAGCAACTTGAAAAAGTTCTCATGGGCTGGGGAACCTTTTCTGCGTCGGGGGCCACTGAGCTGCAGAAAAATCATTCGGGGCTGTACACAAGTGAGATGTGAGGGGACTGGAGCACCAGCACAGGTTCCCCAATGCTGCGGGGGGGGAGGAACCCTGAAACTTGGGGGCCAGAATCAGGTATGCTGGGGGTCACATCCCACCCCTGCCAGAGGTTCCCCACCCCAACCTAATACTTACATTTCTAATTATCACTTTAACAACCTTATTTTTTTTCCACTGAAGCCCTCCCTCCCCAGCATAGATGCAAAACAGTTTGTTGCTTTTGACCAAGCAGAGTGTGTCACCAAATCTAATCTTTTTTTGGGAATACCATCTGCTAGATACCTGTTTAATTTTTTTTCCCCCGTATGCTAAGCTCTTTCTCCTCAGGCAGAGTGTCCTTAAATTGTAGTCTAACATCTAATAAAGATTTGCATTGATCCTTTTATGTACAAAAGATCACTTCACGTTCATAAAAGTTTGCAAAGACAGCATAGCAGTTGGTTGGTTACTTTTTCACTTGTCTTGCCTCCAGTTGGCATTGCTGCAAATATCCAAAATAACTAGTATCTTAACCTCTTATCAAATGTCTAATCTATTGGTAATCTAGCCAAAAAAAAAATACATAAAATCTAAGTGAAGTGATACTGTGGATTTAGGGGGTCTTCGTCGAACCTGTCAACTCACAGGGCCATGGACTAACAGGATTATGGATTCGCTTCAACATAGTCGACTAGGGATAGTTTGTTCTATTAGTCTCACTACGTCACTGCTACTATAGGCTGGCTGTGTCTACACTGGCACCCTTTTCCGTAAAAGGGATGCTAATGAGACACTTCGGAATTGCAAATGCCGTGGGGGATTTAAATATCCCCC